GAGATAGCTCCCTCCGGGGCCACTGGATGCCTTTACCCAGTGTCTTCTTCTCGATCATTTTGCAGTGTATTTGTGTCATTTGATGCCATCAATTTCTTTAATACTTTTAAAAATATTTTTATTCTACTTCTTTATCTTTTGTCTGGACCCATTGGCTTTATCTTAGATAATATATCCTATTCCTTTTTTTTTTTCCCATTATAACTTTAGATACCAGTCACTTTTTGTTTGAACTAGTAAATACCTTCCTAATGCATCTTTTGGTTTCTTGCCCCTCCTCCCAAACTAATGCAGCTGGAGTTATCATCCTAAAATGTAGTTAGAAACATGTCATTGGCATTGCCAGAAACTCTTGGGGGTTTCCCATTACCTCTTAAAATGTGGGTAGAAATATGCCATTACCTTTTTAAAATTTTAATTCCAGGGTAGTTAACATACAGTGTAATATTGTTTCCGGTGTACAATATAGTGATTCAACACTTGCATCCGTCACCCGGGGCTCATCACAACACGTACCCTCCTTCATCCCCATCACCTGCTTCACCCCTCCCCCTACCCAGCTCCCCTCTGGTGACCAGCAGTGTGTTCTCTAGTGTTCAGAGTCTGTTTCTTGGTTTGTCTCTCCTTTTTCCCTTTGTTTTGATTCTTAGATTCCACAGAAGAGTGAAATCATACAGTTTTGTCTTTTTCTGACTGCCTTACTTCACTTAGCGTTATACCCTCTAGCTCCATCCATGTTGTTGCAAATAGGCAAGATTTCATTATTTTCTATTGCTGAGTAATATTCCATTGTGTATACACCACATCTTCTTTATCCAGTCATCTATCAATGGACACTTGGGCTGCTTCCATAATTTGGCTGTTGTAAATAAAGCTGCAATAAACATAGGGCGCATGTATCCCTTTGAATCAGTGTTTTTGTATTCTTTGTGTAAATACCCAGTAGAGCAATTTCTGGATGGTAGGGTAGCTCTATTTTTCACTTCTGGAGGAACCTCCAGACTGTTTTCCACAGTAGCTGCAGCAGCTTAACATTCTTCCCACCAACAGTGCACGAGGGTTCCCCCTTTCTCCACATCCTCGCCAACACTCGTTGTCCCTTGTGTTTTTTATTTTAGCCATTCTGACAGGTGCGAGGTGATATCTCATTGTAGTTTTCATTTGCATTTCCCTGATGATGTGATGTTGAGCATCTTTTCATGTGTCTGTTGGCTCTCTGCATGTCTTTGGAGAAATGTCTGTTTATGTCTTCTGCCCATTTTTTAGTTGGATTATTTTGTTTTGGGCTGTTGAGTTGTCTAAGTTCTTTATAGATGTTGGATACTAAACCTTTATCAGATATGTCATTTGCAAATACCTTCTCATGTTCAGTAGGTTGTCTTTTAGTTTTGCTGATTGTTTCCTTTGCTGTGCAGAAGCTTTTCATTTTGATGTAGTCCCAATAGTTTATTTTTGCTTTTGCTGCCTTTGCCTCAGGAGACATTATCTAGAAAAATATTCCTATGGCCAATGTCAAAGACATTACTACCTGTGCTCTCTACCATTCCCTTTTTTTGAAAAACTTTCAGTGGTTTCCCAGTAGCAGAGTTGAAACTCTGGTATGGCTGGCGTTCAGAACTTTCCATGAACTAGCTATATCCCGACTTTCTAGCTTCTTCGACAGCAGTATTAATCGCACAGTGTTCTGCATATTTTATTATCTCTCACATCTCTGGGCCTTTGATCCTGTTGTTCTCTGGGCAAAAATCCTTTCTTGCCCTGCCTTACCTTGCTCCCCATCTTCCCCCAAGCACAGGTGCATACACCGTAGTCTGGGTGGGACTGTGTTGTCCCCGTTGGTCTCCACTCAGTTTATATGCCACCTCTCCAAACCTCAAATCATAGCCAGTGTCCTTGTCTCTTGTCCTGACGGATACTGCTGTTGGTAGCATTAATTGTGACGTACCCTATACATTCTAGATGTTCGTTTACCTGGTTTCCCTAGTGCAGTTTTCTATTCCTTAGGGTAGCACCTGTCTGCATGTTTATACCGTCTCTCATCTTCCCTCAGTATTATTCCTTTGACATAGCAGGCTTTCAAATACACGGTTCTTGAGTGAGCACATCCGTTCACGGCGTACTGGCTTAACCTCTCGTCCAGTTTGGTTGGGTAATCGTGGAACATGCTGCTATTTTCCTGCCTGACACCAGAGTATTACTTCTTAAATGTACACAGTTTTAAAATGAAATGTGATCAACTAGCTAACATTTATATATAAAAATGCCCTAAGAACTGAGGTACTCTGTAATTAATGATACTACTCTTGGTAAAATCCCTCGGTCATAAGAATCTCTTTTTTTCATAGAAGATTTTGTTAAATAGCAGTTATTTAAGGGAAAAAAATCATCATGGCTTTAATTTCTCAGTAGTTAATAACTTTTAGATCTTAGGAGAAAGCTAACTCAGAAAAGTGTAGCAATTTATTACTTGAGAGAGTTCTGTGGCTAGAAATTAAAATGTTAATGAAATTATGTTATGAGAGAGGTGGGAGGGGGTGCCTGCCCCTTGTCTAGAGCCATTTATTTTAAAATACTTTTTCACAGTCCACCACCTCAGTTGTCTCATTTTCTACCAGAAAAATCCTTGCTTCCTTTCAGGTGTCTCTTACTGTTTCTTTTTTCTTTTTTTCCTAATTATATTTGCATTTTGTCCCTCGTCCCTTTACTCCTGCCCACTGTCAGACCAGTGTTATTCTTCTGAGTCACTGGCTCCCAACCACTTTGATGCCCATGTTTCTTCTCGGCTTTCCATCACCATCTCCTGATGATCTTCACTGGCCGAGGTATTCGTGGCCCTTACACCTTCAGTATGTTTGGCTTTTCCAAACTAATGGTTACCCCCCCCATTCCCTCTGAGAAACATCGCTCTAAATTATTAATTTAACAAGATTCATATGGCAAGATTATGAACAAAAGCATAGCATGGGGCATTTGAACTACAAATGGCTTGAGTTTTTGGTTGTATAAACACGTGGTGAGAAGAGCTAGCGGGACACCAACATAGCCTTTGCCTCCATATTCTTTCTTGTCATTAGTAAAGAGAGAACTTTTAGGATTACATCAGTGAGAACATAAAATAATGAAAATCAGGTTTTCTGTTTTTTGTTTACAATTTCACTTTTCCCGTAAACTTTAATATTTAGCATTTACTATGTGCCAAACACTGTTCTAAGTTACCATGTATATTAACTCATTTAATCTTTATAACAACCCTACGCTGTTGGTGGTGTGTTTTCTAGTGGATAAAACGGAGACACAGCAATTAAATACCTTGTCCAGCTTACTGAGTTGTTGGAAGAGGGTATGGTATGGTGTTGGTTTTTATATTCATAAATTATAACATCTTCCTCTTGCTCATCCTCTTTTCTTTGGACCCCGTGCTGGAGTAAACTCTTCCCTGGAATTTATAGTAAAGGTTCAGAAGACCACTAAATCAGATCTCTAGAAATCGTGGTGCCTTTATGGGAAAGCATGGCCCAATCTAGCTAGCCCAGTTCTGTTTGGTACACTGAGCAATTGGTTTGTCACTGAGAAAAAGTTTGGGTGGAATACCATATCCCTTTTCTAACCTCAAAATAGGGGTGCCCAAATATGGCAAAGCACATACATTAAGGAGAGTGATAAACCAGTCTTAGGATTATTGATATAAAAATTCTTGGGGTAATACCAGCATATATAATCCTCTCAAAATGTAGTCATGTTTCTATGTTAGACAGTCTATTAGTATAATTCACAATGTTAGTTTAAGAAGAAAGTATGATCATCTTAATATCTTACTGCCATCCACATTCCTTATTTTTTTCCTAACTCTTCCATGTAGGAGGAAGATGTATTTCTATAAATGACTTTTCAAAGGCTCTGACAGTGTGGGTGTTTATGTGTAGATGTTTATAGACACAAAGTGACATGCAGCTAACACTTCTGAGTGCCTACTGTGTGCCTGACATTGTTCCAGGTGTTGTATATGTATTAGCGCACTCGGTTTCGAAACAATCATATTCTTTTTTTTTTCTTTTACAATTGAGAAAAGTGAGGTACCGGGAGGTGCACTTGGCCGAGGTGATGTATATGTATGTTGTATGTCTGTGTGTATGGCCGGACCGGCAATCCGTATAATGCTTAATAATAAAACCCTAGAGGCGTTCCCATCAATATTGGGAGCAACGCAAAATCTTTTGCCATTAATACAGTGTAATTAGATAAAAGTATGGAGTAAGAGATATAAAAATTGGTAAGGAAGAGGCCATCTGATGATTTTCTGTTGTTATATATACAGGAAAATCCCCAGATCCTCCATGAAGCACTGCTAGAGACATGAAGAGTCATGGAGATACCTGGTTCACTAAAGCTTTATGTGAATAAAATAGTGATTTTTTTTTTTTTGGACACCAATAGTAACAGTCAGTAGATATAATGAGAGAAGAAAAAAAAACTTTCATTCACAGCAGCAAGAACAAAAGCAAAATATCTTAAGACAAGCTTAGTAAGAAATTTATGTCTCATGAAGAAATCTAGAGAACTGTATTGAAAGATAGAAAAAATTTCAATAAGTTCTTTTTTACTAAGGTATAATTTACAACAATATCCTATGAATTTCAGGTGTACATCAATAGTGATACGATATGTTTATACATTACAAAATGATCCCCACGAAAAGTCTGGTTACTATCCGTCAGCATACAAAGTTAGTACGGTATTCTTGACCATATTCCCTTCTGAACATTATAGCTCCGTGGCTTATTCATTTTGTAGTTGGAAGTTTGTACCTCTTAATCCCCTTTATCTATTCCACCCCCGCAACCCTCCTGCGTCTGGTAAACAAACTGTGTTTGTTTCCTGTTTGTGAGTCTGTTTCGGTTTTGTTCGTTTGTTTTTTAGATTCTGCATGAGTGAAATCATATGGTATTTGTCTTTCTCTGACTTATTTCACTTAGCATCGTACCCTCCAGGTCCATCCATGTTGTTGCAAATGGCACGATCTCATCCCTTCTTATGGCTGAGTAATATTTGTGTGTGTACCAAATTGTTCTTGATGGAACAGTTGAACAAATCAGAGTGCTTTTTAAGCAAGTATTACGGGAGCACAGCCTCCATCAAACTCCCAACAGCTTTTTGGTTAAAATCCATCAAAACAATTCTAAAGTATTTGGAAGCATGTACGTGTAAAAATAGCCAGGATAAAAATATGAAAACGAGGAGAAAACATGTAATGAAAGAAGACTTGCACATGCAGGGTTCCCAATATATTCTAAGTCTACAGTCTTAATATACGATACAGGCAGAGACCTGGAAGAAGATCAGTGGGACACAACTGGAAGTGTGGAAGTAAACCCAGGCTTACAAGGCGTTAGTATAACATAGGGGTCCTATCACTCTGTCCGCTCAAACTCTCCCGAAGTTTTCCATCTCAGACTATAAGCCAAGGCCTTAGTGTGACCTATGGTCTTGCTTCTCAACTTAGGATCCCGGGGCCCACAGCAATGGCGTCAGCTGTGAGCTTGTTAGGATGCAGCATCTCGGACCCCAGCCTGGACTTCCTGAATGAGAATCTTCAAGATCTTCACGGTGCAAATGCTATGTGAGGTCTGAGAAGCATTGCCCTTCAGAGCCCACATGACCTGGCTTCTCCTGAGGCTGCCCTCCTGCCTTCCATCTTACCACTGCTCCCCCTGCTCATTTGCCACCAGTGTGGCTGGCCACGTTGCTGTTCCACAGACACACTCACCTGTCAGGGCTTCATACGTAGTCCTCCCTCTTCCTCTGCACATCTCCTTTGCTTCCTCCAGGTCTCTGCACACGTCACCTCATCAGAGAAGCCTCCCCTGACCCAGAGTTTCTTTGTCGCACTCACCATCACCTGACATGGATGTGTCGCTCAGATTCTGTCTCCCCCCCCCACCCCAGTACGCGGTGAGCTTGGTGACAGAAAGGGACTTGCTTCGTTCCTGCTGTATCCCCAGCCCCTGACCCCTAGGAGGTGCCCGATTGCTGAGTGAAACTGGTATTAAAAATTACAAGTAAGCTCTCTAAGAGTTCTGAAGAGCGGGAGAAATGACACCCAACTCTTGTTTTTCACTGTAGTTGTGTTCTATGAAGTTGCTGCAAATACTGACCCGTGGCTCCCAGAGAACGTACAGGAGTCCATGTCTGTGAGCCTCGAGTCAAAACATTCTCACGGCCCGATCAACACATAACCTTGTCGTACGCGTGTTGCTGTTTAAAGACACCTTATGTCGTACTGTTGATGCATGGATGCCGAACTCCCAGCCGGCAGCGCCCCATCTCCTGCCCACAAGGCTCACCTGGCACGCATCTGCTCTCCGTGAGGCACCCCGCGGCCTTCTCGCACTTACCAACACTGGCCAGCGCCTCAGGGCTAGGCTTGGGGGCCAGGTAAACAGCACGTGCGCCAGCAGAAAGCACAAAATGCGAAAGACGTATCGCTAGATGGTACTTTTTAGGACACGTGTTTACAGTATGAGAGCTTCGGCAAGGAGGCGAAGCCTCACTTTGTTCAGCCTCAGCTGGAATGTGTCCTCGGGCCACTCCGATGTTTCGCCTCTCTGCACAGTCCACAGGATGACTCTGAAGCACCACGAGTATTAGTTTGGAGGTTACAAATACATTTTTACAAGTAGGCCAATCTGCAAATACAGAATCTGCAAATAATGAGGACCAACCACACATCATTCTCTCCATAAATATTTATTGCCTTTCTGTGTGCTCTGCTCCCAGAATTACCCACCACTCAGACATTTATCAAGTCCTGGCCTTGTGCCCGGCCCTGTGCAAAACTCCAATAATCCGAAGACAAATTTAACTGTGTTCCAGGGAAGGCTTCCTGACGGAGGGGTCTTAGCTGAATCTTCGGTAATAGTGGGTAGGATTTTAATAAGTGAAGCCGTGGAGAAAAAGGTATTTTAGAAGAAAGATCCTGTAAGTCACTGGTCTTCTTAAACTTGGGTACACATTAGACTCACTTGGCCTATGGCCAGTCCAAAAATAAACATCTCTAGGTATGAGACTCTGGCATTGGTGTATTTTAAATCTCCCCAGATGACAACCAAATAAAGCACTGCTGTAAATACTCGTGTTTGGATAGGATGTAAGTTATGTGAAGGGAAGAGCAAATAAATCTGGAAAAGGGATTTTGACCCAGGTATGGACATGCCGTCACTGATTTAGCACATGCCTGCTAAATACCTGCTGTGTGGCAGGCACTTTGCAGGGTCCTGGAGACACATCAGGAAACAAGACCCAGGCATCCCGCCTTGTTCGAGTTTACAAGCGAATGGTGTTGGCATTTGTTTAGAATTATTCACGTTCTAAATTTAACTTATGATAGTATATGGTGATTTGTATTTGGAAGGAATCTTGTCCTCAGTGCTCAGAAAGCTAAATTTCCTATTGAAATTATTACGTCGCCCTCTGATATGAACAGAACGCTATAAAGAGAAATTGTTATAAACCTCTGTGCTGATTTCACTCAGCATTGTCTAACACAACCACACATCGTATTGGCCTCTTAGTGGTTTTCCGTTTCTTGCACACCAGGACAGTTGTCTAAATCCAGTCGTGTGCAGGAATTTAAAATCACTGCTGTGAGGGCCTCTGGGAGTATTAACTGAAGCAGTTCATTTTGCCATCTTAGAAAGAATTGGTAGGTAAGGCACTCTCTTGATTATCAATGAGAATTTAGATAGAACTCCTAATTAACAAAGAACTTTGGGTGATAGTCGGTTTGTAGTTGCTTTTGTATCGCTTGCTGCATATCATGCTTTTCTTTCCTGTTCCTTTACACAGTACACTCTGACACGCTCTTCTAGACAGACCTCCTGATAGAGCTTTCTTGTAATCTATCTGATGCTCTTTCTAGCCTGACTCTGCCAGTCTCTCTTTTCACAACGCTCCTGACCAAGCAGTGTTTGAATTAGTTTGCTAAGTAGACTAATCTAATGCCTAAAGAACAAGCCCCCATGCCCGACTTCGGCTTTCAGCTGGGATGCACAGCCCAGAGAGAGCATGGTGGACGCAAACGAGCACACACCAGGTAGAAGGCGAGGAATGGCATAGACCGTGGGACATAAAGGTCCGCAGCATCAGGAGAGAAGAGTTAAGTTCTGACTTGGCTTCGATGATGAGGTTGGCAGTATTACCATTACTACAAGAGGCAAAGTCTCATTAAGTTGTTAGAATTAAGAGAATGTCTTGTCTGTATTTTATATAAAATTACTTTTGGTCAGCTTTTCCTCAGTTTCAGTTTACTGTATTTTATTAATATGGATGATATCATGTGCTTTTTATACCTCTTTTAGAATCATTTATGGCCTTTTTCCCTCATGAATTTTCTCTCCCTTCCTCCCTTATATATGAGCTGTTCTAGTAACCTGCTTCATTGGCATTTAGGATGTCCTTAATATTCTCTGCACTTTTCTAAAATTCCTTGATTATTTACAAGTTTAATGAGAATTGAAGATCATCTTTCTAAAGACTTAGTTGTTTAATGAACTTTTAAAAATACTGAATGGGAAGTTAATACTGGGAAATAATTGAAGTCTTATGCTGTGGGTTATGTTACCACAAAATGACTGCAGAAAAGTTTTTCTTTTTAGACCACTGGGAAGAAATAACTTTTTGTGGATTTATTTACTGTTTGTCTCTGAACCCTAAAGAGAATTGAGGTTTATTTGCTCTTAGTGATGTGGCACTGAAAGATTGTCAGACCCATAGAATTTTTATTTTGAGGAACATTATCTTCCCTCTTTGTTACGGAATTTTTTTCTTTATTTTTTTAACCTTTCCCTTCATATGTGTTTTAAAAGTGGTCTGATCAGAGTTAATTTATGTAAGTGTTTTTATCACTTTTTTTTCCGTAATAGTTCTTTATAGCAAAATTTTTGTTGAATGTTGTTCGAGGGGGTGTTTTTCCTGCCTTAGTTCTGAACCACCTGAGAAATAGACAAAGGAGCCAGGCAGATGGACATCAAAATAGCTCTTTTCTGATGGAACTATTGCAGGATGTGACTTAAGAGCCCAGCTTAAAGAGCTTAATGATGTTGAACCCTCCAAATTAGAAAGCTTTAACCACCCAATCTCAGGCAGTGCTGGGGAGCAAGGAAGCCTGGGCAGATCCCAAAGAGAAAAGTGCAGAGGAAAGGGGCCGGGCTTTGCTTACAAAATTCCTCTTCCCAGACTCACCCACCAGATAAGTCATCCTCCAGTGAAGGGGCAGAGGCCGGAGGGCGGGTTGCACCAAGGGAGGCCACTCTAGTTGGGAAGCTGAAGCCAGAGCGGGAGACCCGCAGGAGGAGCCTCTCATGCCAGAGAGGCTGGAGCTCCCTCAGCCCACAGCGGCTGACAGCAGCCTCCGTGGAGGGGGTTACAGGAACACTGCAAAGAGCTGAGGGCTCTTGGAGGAGCTCACCCTGTCGTAAAAGAGAAATAAAACCTGCCCGGGGGCACTTTTGTTCACATGTTAGTACCTGATTGATTTTGCTCCATTCTCTTACACTGTGGGTATAAATTAGGGTTTTTGTTGGTTCTTTTTTTTAATTCTCAAAAATAATAAAAGGTTTTGCTGAAATTTTAACCTTTCAACCTTTGGGGGACAGTTGGGGAAATTTGATAGAACAATTTTGCCTCCATGGTGTTATTGTTAGGATCGGGAGAGATTGTATATTAATGGGGGAACAAATCCATATTAAGAGAAAGGTACCAGGAAGTGGGCTTGGGTCACCAGTGATGAAGAGACTTGATTCCCAACAGCAGAGGCAAAGCCCACGTGTTCACGTTCAAATTTCAGCGGACGTACAAGGTCCTCTCATGTGGTTGAAGCTCCTGACATTAGACACACCCATTGGCACTGATGGATGTCCGTGTGCGCCCAGAACCCTACTACACTGCCTGGTTTTCTCCTGTCCTCGGGGCCCACCGAGCTCGGCCCTCTACTGCAGTGCCCATCCAGCCCAGGGTGGGAAGTGGACCAGGGCCTGTGACTAGGGAAGCCAGCCGGGCCTTTCACCTACAGATGTTTTAATGTGCTTAACATTATCCAATACTAGCAACCAAGGTAGTCTAAATACCACAGCAGGATCTGATTAGCTTTTTCAGATCACTGCCTTTATTTGCTGTTTGCAAAAAAGCTTAATCCAGTGCTAGAGATCAGGCTTCCTGCTGAGCCCTTGGGTAGTTTTCTTTCCTTTGTGTTCACCGGTGGCTGGAATTAGTGAGAAGATACCTCCTCCTCCTCCCGAATTAAAGCTATAAAGTAGTAACCATAGTAGCAAGGGAAGAAAACCCAGGGCAAAAGAGAAGACTTGCAATTCATACTAAAGAGTTTACTTTTTATACACAAAAAAGTTTTAATATGAATTCGTAAATACTGACCTCACCGTCTCTGATCTCATCAGTGCGTTGCTTAAGTTTTATTAGGTTTTAGTTGTTGGGATCACTTTGCATTAATGTATATGTTTTATTTTTATGTTACTAAATCAAACTCAGTTTTACCAAAAGAAGTACATTTACTCACTGTCTGACTGGCCTTGACTTATATTCTTCACTCCTTTTACTCATAAAATTTCAAAAAGAAATACCACCACACCACTTAAAAAAAATAAATTTTAACTCTCTTCGTTTCTATGTTCATATGTTTACCTAAGACATAAAATTTGAATTCTGGGTAATTCACCTTATAATTTGCAATAAACTGTAATATTAGATATGCTTTATCTTTAACGGGCTTCTGACATCAGACCATAGGCTTAACCAAGGCAGAAACATTCCTGCAACCCTTGGTCGAAAAAGAACAGTTTTGCTTTACAAATTAGTGTGACATGCAAACCTAATAATAATGACGTTCAGTTAAAAAATATTTTCACAGGTTTGAAATTTTCTAACATTTTGGGAATGATATACTTTCATAAAAGATTAATCTCTTTGGAGGAAAAATACAGACCAATGGTGATCTAAAGCATACTCTGTATTTTTATTTTATTTCCGGTAACAGTGATTTTTTTTTTTTTTTAGGCTTTTAGTACACATAAGGAATGTTTTCTTCCGTGAGATAACTGAAAAATTTCAACTATGTAGAGTAGGCCTTCTTCCTCTTGTGTTGTAAACGGGGAAAAATCTCATTTACACGTGAGTGGTCACAATTAAGTCCCCACCGGCCAGGAGTCCCAACAGATACTCCTGTTCCCCAAGTAGTCACAAGGGACCCTAATCGTGAGTATCCTCGGTATTTGTATATATGTAAAGAGAGATTGATTTAGATGGTTTGGGGTGCTTTACCCAAATCTTGTATCTTGGAAAAGCCTGGGCCCTGCGTAATTCAGCCTGTATCAGAAAGTCGTAAAAGCTGCTCTCGCCTTCGCCCTTCTCATGGGCACTGGAATGAAGAGTGGATGCCCGCCCGTGTGGGCGGGTGGGGGGCGGCGATCTTTCTCCGAAGTAGGTCGTAGGACAGCTGTAGATGTCTTTTTCCTTTTACTTGAGCAGGGAGATCCTTACACAACACCTGATGGTGTTTAAATTTTGGTTGAACTTTCGTAATAATCAGAGGCCACTAGAGATGGAACTTACACAGCCCTCAAAAGCCAGTAGTCCTTAGCATTATAAATACTGCGGTCTGGAACTTTGGACATAAATCAGGAGGTAAGAAGCTTCCTCCCCGAGGGGACCGATTTTTTTATATTCCTCAAAAAATACCACCATACTACTTCTTCGTAAAGTTAACTTGTCCCTGAGCTGAAATTTGAGTATTACATCTGAACAAATTTTATGAAAAAATCAAATGCTTTTAACAGGTATAATATGTTGTATATTAGAACATAATGAAAGCCTTTATTTAATGACATGAGTAACTAGAATCCATCATAAAAGAATTTTACATTGCTATTGGGCATACTATAAGGTGGGCTGTGCTGGTGGTTTAGGTTGAAGTTAAATAGTTTTGTCTAAAGATACAGTTTAGAGGACGCATTTGGCACACAGTTGGACCACACTTGTTTATCTTCCTACGCTACGCTCTTAGTGAACTTTCTAAAATTGTAAGCTCCTAAACCTTTGTCTCTTGCGGTCTTACTTTCATTACCTCTCTCCTTTTTTTTTTCATTTTATTGCCTTGCAACAAATTAACCAATATCTAAGAATACTTTGGATTTCCCGGTGCTTCCAGGGAAATAGTTTTACTATAGCCTTCTGTCCCATTTCACTATGGACTCATTTATTAAAAGGGATTACTGCGGTAGCGAATTGCTACTTTGACACACCTCATGTCCTTTATTTCTCAAAACCCAAAAGCTAATAGAACGGGAGGATAGCCTCAACTTTTTGGAAACGTGCAACTTTTATGACTTGAAAATATAATTGGCTTCTTTGTTCCGCGCATGAAAAACAAGGAGGAAAAGCCGAAGGCTGCCCAAGCCAGGTGTTTCTTGTTGGCAGCCTGCTGCCTGATGACTGGGCTCCCAACGAGCAGCTGCTGGAGAGTCGGCTTTGTCTGGCCTATTGTTGGAGCACACCCCTCGTTAATACTACATGCTGCCCGGGGCAGACCCCGAGAATGACATCAACTTGCTTATCTTAGAAACCTGTGAACCTGACCCAGGGTGCTGAGGTTGGCTTGCATCTGCCCGGCCAACTCATTGTGAGCTCTCTGGCCCATGATTGGCTGTTACTCCACTCGGTAATAGGTTAAGCAAAGACACTGCCATTTCCATCTGTTCAGCCATTCATTGTTCTTCCTGCCTGCCTGCAAGTCTGCAGCTAAAACTGTGTTAAGGAGCTACTGCTGAGGCTGCTACAGAAACCAATGTCTTTGTATTTTCCTGCTAACGTGAGTATCTGTGCTACTTCACGCCTTGCAAGTTAAACTTTGCTAAATATTGAGAGTATTAATTTGAACTCTGTAAAGGACAGGAAACCCCTCCAGTGGAAGGCTACAAATGATTACATGGCGCCAAAATACAAGAAAATTCTCTCTGTAGACTTACGTCTGGAGTCACATAAATAATTACAGCCTCACGAACATTTGCAAGGCGTTAGGCATGGCATGGGGTCATTTGGTACTGAAGGATGAGTTCTGACACGTTCTGATGTTTTGATAAACAATGAATTTGGGTTTTATCTTATCACATTCTTGTGTTTCTTCAAGTGTCACTGTCAGACTTAGGCACTGTGAACTGGTAGTAAGATTTGATAGGTTTTTTTTTCCATTGTCTTAAAAATCCAGCCTGGGGGGAGATGGATTGATACACAGGTAGATGTTTCAGACAGCTTGTTGTAAATATGATGATTAAGCATTCACCTGCTTTGTCAGCAGTTTCGATAGTCACGTAGAGTTTCTAATTTCTCCCACCTTTTTAAAAATTTTTCCCCCTGCATTAGTTTCAAATATTAGATTGAAGGTGTCATTCCAAGAACTGCTTTCAGGAGTTCCGTTATGGGGAAAGGAGGAGGAGACAAAGACTTTCATCTATCAGTTGGAAGGGAAAGAGCGAGCATAAAGGGTTAAAAAGAGGTTTTCATTTCTACCACATGCCCTATTGTGTGAACACATGCACGAGTCTATTGAAAGTTCTCAGAAGATGGGCAGGCCACCAGTTGCTGGCCTCCTGCAGTTCCAGCAGGACATCTGTTGCCCCAGAGCATCAACCAATCTGTTCAAAGGGACATCCTTCCTTTGTTAGCCAGAGGGATGCAGACAGCAGCACTCCCTGAAATACAATGGCAATTAAATACACAGAGACTACAGCAGTAGGTATTTATTACATATTCATTATTTTATTTTCATTGTTCTCACGGTATTACCATTTGGATAACAACCAGAACCCACTTTATGGCATTGTAACTTTACATTACAAACAAACAAATTGATGTAACAACTTTGTGGTCTAATATTCCTAATTAATATGAGGCTCTTCAGAAATAAAAAAAAAAAAATTTCCCCCACTGGATTTGAGGTGAAGGATTATCCAAGTCATCTAATGAGAACTTTCAGAGATCTCACCAAATGGGGGAATTTGTATATCTACGACAAATTTCTAGTAGATAACCATATCCTAAGCCTGCCTTCAGCTAATACAAAGTTTCTTTTTGACAATTAAAATAATCAGTTACACTTCATCATCTACAAAATTAGCATGAGAATTTGGGTCTTTTTCAACAAATATTATTTGACTTTTTAACTTATTAGGCCTTTAGCCAGAAAAAATTATTTTAGTTTCCAGTACAGTATCTGGAGGGAATCTTTAGTTTTGTTAAGTGTAGAAATCTGTGTTCAGACCATTATATTTTTGCCCAGTGCTTTCTGTGTTCATGAATATAGTGTGTAAAGGCCAATTACAATGGATTCCTGATAGAAAGCTTAAAAGTTAAGCCATATTTTTTGCAGTTTGATAGTTTTTTTGATAACTATGGGAGTATAAACACTGACCTGTTTTGTGTGTGAAATTTTGTCTATGCTGCTGCTTCATGAAATGAGGAAAATTATCCTTATTAGTTAATAGTTGATTAATTTAAAGATGACTTACATACATTTGCATTTGAGTAAATGCAAAACTTAAAAGTCTAATAAATGATTTAGAAATTAGGGAGAAAAGTATTTTCTACCTTACCTGTAATAATAAATTGGTGATGTTATTGGAGTCTGCTATCTTTTTCAACATTATATTGATCATTTTTAAGGCACTGAGCAAAAATAAAGATCCTCTACTATTATTTGTCCTAAGATTTCTTATAACAATTCCTTGTAAGTTTTACACATGACATTACTTTAACAAGTACTGCAGCCTATGAAAATATTTTTTTTCAGCTCTTAAATCTTAAGACTGGCGTTTAATTTTTTATTGAGTGATTTCAAGATATTGTGGGGAAAAAAAGTTTAAGTGTCATGTTAAGTCAGGGCAATCTTTTACTAATTTCAAGTGGGTAAGGAAGTACTTCAGATTAGTTTTAAAAACCAAATGTTTCCCATCTGGTTACTACAAGTAAGGTTATTTCAGATTTGGATTATGTAACGGAGAAGATCTAGGCCTGGTGACTGAACTCCTTTGCCTGTATTTGTACTATTTCATATTTAGTCTGTTGATGGGTAGGAGCCGAAAATAATTGTTTCACTGCTTGTTGAGGACAAGATGACATTGGGTAACTTTCTCTCAAGTAACCAGTGAAGTATGGAACATGAAGAGAGGCCTGTCAGTGTGGGGAAAGAGTTCAACCAGAGTATCTTAAAAGAAAAAATATTGTGCCTAACCAAATTAGATGTTAATTTTTTTTAAAGTAGGGCAGATCAGTATTAAAAATCATGTTAGCCCAATTATTGTAAACTTTTTACTTACATAGTATCTATAATTAGATGAATTGTAAATTACAAGTTAAAGGTGTGTGGTATTCACTAAATATATTCATGTATATATTTCTCTGGTTTAATATTATAAAAAGCAAATGTTGATAATCTAATCTTTCCTCCCTATTTTATCATTATAGCTATATAATAAAATTGTATAGGAGAGCAGATTTACATAGTACCGTGAACACTTTTTTTATATGAGACTGAAGTGATACAGAAAGATTTAGATACTTGCTTAGGGTGGATAATTTTTAGTTTAAAAACTTTATAGTATTTGGTTTTGTTTCTTTGAAAACTGTGAAAATTAAGAATAATTTCCCTTATTCTCTAAACATAACATTTCATTTCCATGTTCCCCAGTGGCTGTGTTTTCATGCAGTGTTCATCTTGTTTGAAACAGTCCGAAAGGAAAACACTTCAGCCCAATATTAAAATAATATTTCCTAGTTGAAGTCAGGGATTTGGTCAGTGAGTCATTATCTTGAAGAATTATCTCACAACAGCACTTCTGCAAAACCCAAACTTTTCAGGGGAGATCAGAAATGTTGCCCATTAAATACACTTCCTGCAGTCGGAGCAGATTGTGGGGTTTACGGAACAATGATGTCGGAGCTTCCAGATTGGTTTGGCAGCTGCATTGTTCTCGGAGGGTAAACCAGACGCACTTAAGTCCTAGTCTCTTTTATAGGCTTTTGTTCATACCAAATTATTCTTTCACTGTGCTAGCATTCATGATGGCGTGTTAAAAGAGTGCAGCTTAGCAACCAGCTTCTGGTTGCCAGGCAGCCCAGCTTCCAATAGGTTTTCCTTGTTCAAGATACTTTTGGTGGGAGCTCTGCGAAGGCCACAGTGCAGATTTTTCTTTTAACTGTATCCCTTCATTAGGATTCTGTTGTGATTTGTTACTTGCATTATGGTGTCAGTATATTACAGTAGTTAATAAATCACAAAGTGTAAAGATTTGCTTTCAAAATCCCTGCCTTTAATTCTAAATAATTGGGCTCATGCATATCCGTATTAATAGAAAAAAAAAATTGAAATGGATACAGCTCCCTAATGGAGCATCTGCTAAGGAGTATTTCTTTTTATCAGTTGAGCAGTTCTGGAGCCAGGAGAGCTTGATGTTTCTTTAAAACTAATAAACGAACGCTACATTAAGAGAACAATGTTATCTGTCTTCTCAAGGGATAAAACCTGAAGAAACTCCTGTAGAATGTGTAGGCGTTCTACACTGACGAAATTTTAAATGTGGTGTTATCAAGCTAAAGATTCCATGTTCTAGTCTTTAGTATTTACCATACTGAATATAATTTATTTCATTATAGAAATACTCCCCTCTCTAATAAGTTCACCAAGGATGCATTCAAATGTGTGACTTCTTAGAAAAACACTTAGCATTTTCTCTTAACATTTATATAATAGCTCCTTTCTAGTGTAAATAAGATGTTGAAGAGCTTTAGAATAAAATGTTTTTGCAATTTTCTTTTTTAGATGATTTAAATAGGTGTTTTATGACTAGTCTCAAATCCAGCCACCACCGCCTGACTAATGTTACCCCTGGATAGAACACCAGAGCCGCCTTAATAAGTAAGCCACTGGTGTGAATATAGTCCTTATGCTAAAGCACAAGAGCAGAAAATTTTATTCTGTTAACCTGTTCCTGGTATAGAAAGAATAATGAATACCCAGTAGACTTTAAGGAAAATTAGCAAAACAGCAAAAGTGTTTTAAACAGTGAAAGTATTCCTTGGGGCGGGGGGACGCAAAGTGGGAGGAAAGATGACTTTTTAACCAAATGCAGATAATGGGTAACTAATTATCTGATGTGATACAGAAGTATTTTCTTACATTAAATTCAGGAAATTAAGGTAACACGTATTCAACGTACTTTATTTGCTGTTAATTTTCTGTGAACTGTACCATTTCTCTGCTTTCTATAAATGTACAGAGAATAAAAGCACTTTTTCCGCCTGGAATGAAATAGATGGTAGTGTCCCTGACACTTAGTAAGGGTAACATAACATTAAAATTTGTCTTCTGTTACTGTGCTCTGTATCCACAAAATAAAGATTGTTAGGGCAAAACTATGCATCTCCTCAATGGAATATAATTCACTTTGTGATTATTTAGTTCTTTGTTGGCTGTTGTAGAACTGTGCTCTTTTAGCACTCCACCTAAATTATATCTGGAATGTCTTTAGATTGTTGTTAAGCTTGATCCAAATTAATGTCAGTTTTCCAATTATAGTAAGTTAATGTTTGCCTTTCTTTCCATATGGCTTTCCCTTCAAAATAATCTTTACAAATGTTTATGAATTCTTTTAGAGAAAATGTATGTAACCTATCACAGTTTATCTAGAACATGCTTTTTGGTAATAATGTAGGTGTCACTCTGGAAACATTGGCCTTTCTGACAGTGGAAAGATCTCTTCCACGAAAGGGTGAGAAGCCTCATGATAGAATGGGGAAAGCACGGGTTTGGGAGTCATGCAAAACTGGGTTAAAAAAAAAAAAAAATCCAGTTCCACTAGTTATTTTCTTTGTTGCCTCGGAAAAATTGCATGGCATTCTACTTCCTAACTTCTTCATCTGAAAAACAGGGCATGATCCTATCTGGGGCAAAGGTGTTACGAGGGCTGAGAAGATGTAGAGAAACTGCAAAGTTGAATATTCGGTGGTTGGGCGATATTCTTTCACCTTCTTTACTGGAACAGGAATGAACCAGTAAATACAAAATTCTAAATGTTTTACGTTTTTTTTCCTCTAGGAATACGGGGTGCTTTGCATTCAGGAATACAGAAAAAATAGCAAAGTGGAGTCAAGTACACGAAACAGCTTCATGGGCTTGAAGGATCATCTGGGGCACGACCTGGGCCACCTTTATGTGGAGAGTACTGACCCACACTTAAGTACATCTGTACCTTGGTCAATGGTAGAGAAGCCAACGATGGATAAAGTCAGTTCCGGGAGGGAAGAAAAAGAGGTGTCTGAAGAGAATACGAGTTCTGGCGACTCGGAAGAAAGCACACATTCTGATAATGAGTCAGAACACTTGAGAAGCGTTTCCGTAGAGCCATGCTTATTAACCAAGACTCACAGACAACTGTGTAGGTCTCCCCGCCTAGAGCCTCACATACTCAAACGCAGCGACATTTTGCAGGACTTTAAACCTGAGGAGTCCCAGACGACGTCCAAGGAAGTGAAGAAGCCCCCTGATGTGGTGCGAGAATACCAAACAAAACTGGAGTTCGCGCTGAAGTTAGGCTATTCGGAAGAACAGGTTCAGCTCGTGCTTAATAAACTCGGTACCGATGCTTTAATCAACGACATCCTGGGAGAACTCGTCAAGCTTGGAAATAAAAGCGAGGCCGAGCAGACAGTGAGTACGATTACCAGCGTCACGCGGGACTCGTCTTCCCTGGAGTCTCAGCGGTCTGAGTCTCCGATGCAAGAGAGCGCAGCGGACGAGGGGGAGAATCTGAGGCCAGTCGTCATCGACGGTAGCAATGTGGCAATGAGGTGAGTGCGGAGAGCGTCGCTCCTTCTTACGGCCCTGGGAAGGCCCTCCTAGTTTCGCGGCCGTTTCTCTTCTAACAGTCGGGAAGGTCAAGATGATTCCGCATCCCAACATTGGCTTACGTATTTCTAGTGATGTCTCTCTTAGTTTTCTTTCAATCTACTTCCAGGGCGGTCGGCCATTCTCACCCCATTTGTCCTTAAGAAGAGACCCTCTTTCTCCAGACAAGTCTCTTTTTTTCCCCTCCTCTGGCTAAATTACTGTGGCATAAAAATTAGCGCACGTTCCTGGGGGAGTGTTAACCGCTGGTTTTAAATGAAGAACTTGAGTAGGATGATACTCAACAATTTTGGAATCTAGTCAGATAAATAAATAGTCTATTTCTGTGTGAAGTCAAATAACCACAGGGAAAAACGCCAGTTCTTTTAGAAAAATATTTTTATTGCTTTGGGAACAAATCAAAGTTAGAGTTGCAAATTTCTTTTGTTTCACTTAAGAAATGTAAATTCAAAAATAACTCCTTAGGAACTGGGGATAAAAAAAAAAAAGCAAAACTCCTAATGAAATTCTTTTTACAAATTTTGATAACAACATTTTAAGTGCCTCTAAATTCAATTAGTACAAAGTTAATGACCCACAATGTTCAGAGCACTGTGGGGGATATAAAAACACGTAAAGGTGTCAATTCTTTCAGAGAGCTTAGAATTTCATATATTGTTTCTTAGTGATCTGAGGATATCTACCACAGGTATCATCTGGGGAAGCCTCCTATCATCTGGGGAAGCATCTAGAGCAGTGCTGTTCAACAGAAATATGATGTAGGCACATGCATCATTTTAAATTTTCTGGTACCTACATTAAAAAATTAAACAGGTAAAATTGATATGAATGACATATTTTATTTAGACTCATATAGCCAAAATATCATTTCAACATGTAATTGATAATGTGATATTTTGCATTATTCTTTTGATATTAAGTCTTAAAATTGGATATCTTACTTACAGCACATCTCCATTCAGACGAGCCACACTTTCAGTGTTCAGTAACCACCTGTAGCTAGTGGCCACCATACTGGACAGTGCAGTTCTAGAGACCTGCCAACTCCACACACAGACTTACCGAGTCCAGGTCAAGGGGTAGCTCCTGCATCACCTTTTGTTACAAGTACCCCAACTAATAAGAATATGTACTAAAATTTGAGAGCCACTGGTTTTTAGCAGGTGAGAGTAAGGACTTGTACCCGGGGTATGAGAAGGACCAACTTATAATCCTCAAAATAACCTTTTCAGGTGGAAACAGTATTATCTTTCTTTCATTTATACACATATGAGACTTGCAGGGTATTAATTGCTTACCCAAGGTAAAGCATAATTCAAACCCAAGCATGTCTGACTTCAAAGTCTGTACACTTTTTATCGGATAATGAGAGATAGAAACAAGTTGATAGAGGTTCAAGCCAGGCCTTTTGAGGCCTTGAGTGACAAGCTAGAGAATTTAAACTTGACCCTGATCCAAAGGTAACTGAAGACTTTCGAGGAGAGGATGTAAGAGTAGAGTTGTGCCTTATACTGATAACCTGGCAGTGACGCTTAAAGTGGATTATAGGAGGTAGGAGATCAGTTTGGATGCATGCAATTCTTTCTGATGGAGTGAAGAGGGCCTAGAGTGTCCTAGAGGTATGAAGCTTATGTATGGCCTCAAGAAGTCTTTCAGTAAAATAACCTCTCTCTTGTTCAGTCTTTCCCAAACTTAGCCACAGAATGATTTTTTTTCCCCTTGTAATCCAGAACTAGTGAACAATTACCTCAGCAGAGTGATAACTTGTAAGGCCAAATCATCATGAAATCTCCAGGAGAGAGAGTAATGCGGGAAGGTAAGAGGATCTGGAGGAACAGCTATACCTGTAGGCAGAGATCAGAATCACCAGGGGGAGTCTTAAAAAAATACACCTTCTCTCTACTCTCAGAGAATCTGAATCAGTGGGGCTATGGTAGAGCCCAAACAATAATCTATTTCTTAAGTGCCAAGGTAGTTTGATGCATAGCCGTGTCAAAAATCATTCAGCATGAAATGTGGATATTTACAGGTCGGGAGGGGAAAGAATAGTGTGAAAAACATGAGGGTTAGAAAAAAGTCTAGTGCTAGAAAAACCAAGGACCTACAAATGCCATCAGGACTGGAAGAAGAGAAGGCTTTAAGGAGAGAATATCCTGTGTGCAGTACTGGAAAAAGATCAGAGGACATGACAGCCAGGAAGTTACTGTCTTCAGGAATGCCATATGGCCTGAAAGGTAGAAGCCCAGTTACAGGGATGTCCAGGAATGCAGGAAGAGGGGCGCCTGGCTGGCTCAGTTGGAGGAGTGTGTAACTCTTGATCTCAGGGTTGTGAGTTCAAGCCTCACACTGGGCATGGAGCCTACTTTAAAAAAAAGAAGAAAAGAAAAGAAAGAAATAGAGCTAGACCGGTATTCTAGAAAGTTGACAGAGGAAGGGAAGAAAGAGGAGGAAGAAGTGTTGGGGGAGGGAGGATTTTGTTTAATTTGGGGTTTAAGAATGAGCCTGTCTACGCCAAGGGGACAGGGAAAGCGTGTCCACAGGAGAGGGAAGAGGAAGGCAGTAACCACGGGTCAGTTGAACTTTGGAAGCCGAGTTCTGAAGGGGGTACCAAGAAAGGCACCAGTGGAGTATTTGGCGTTGGAGGTAAATGCACTTTTAGACAAGCACAAACAGACCTTGGAAGGGGAAAAGGGCATGAGATTTCTAAAACTTGGAGCCCACAGAAATGAATTTCTAAGATGGATGTCATTTAGATAAATGATGTCACAGTAGGATCAGCCTCACATCCACTCCCATGACTAACACCTAGTTCCCAATGGAAGTGAAGATTTCCACTGGAAATAATTGAAAATTTACGTCAGACTCTAAACTCTACTTACCACACATGGTGAAAATCAGGCACAGGAAAACTGTGCTACAAAAATAGATGGCATCAGGAAGGCAAGCGAACAGTCTATTCTTAAGTAATTAGGAAAACAAACTTCTGACCCCACACTCCTGTGGCGCCACCCCGTTTCCCCTGCTGGACCGGTGGGACAGCGCAGAGCCTGTTCTTCTCGCCATCATATATTTTAATCTGACACTTAAACTGAAGTGCTCCAGGCATTTCAGGACAGAACAAGTTGACAGGAAATTTTTATTATAGCAGCATTATACTGTCAGTCACAATAAAATGTTGCACCACGTCCATAACTCTGAAAGTGCCAGAGCTCATGAAAATTCATAGTAAACTTTTATATTCTGCCATGTATAAGATCTACAGAGAGTAGGGGGAAAAAGTCATTTAAAAATACCTATCTACTTCAGATTCAAAATCTTAATTTAACAAAAAATGCAGACGGATTTCACCCATTTCATGTCCATAAAATAGAACATGCTTTTACTTTTAAAATTAATTGCCCACTCATGCTAAGTTAGGCAAACCTATTATATAATAAATTTGTACACATCATGTTTAAAATAGCAAGTAAATATGGGGGTGAATTAAGAATAGAATACTATTTTATTTTCTTTCTCATCTCTCAGGCAGAAGTAGTCCATATATAAGATGAATATATTTTTAGTTTAATTTAAATGCCAGCTATAGAACTGATAGAAAATGATTCTTTAGACAGAAATTAAAAGTAGGAAGGCAGGGGCATTTTTATTAAAATTACCAAAGTAGACTTTAAAAAAAAAATGAGTTCTCTGTGTACCACCTTTGTGATTCTAAGTAAGTTGTTAAAACTCTCCAGCCTTCCTTTTCAGAATTGTAAAAAGGGGAATTCTTATCTTACAGGCTTGTTATGAGAATTAAAGGTAATTAATACCCAGTGCCCGGCATGTCCTAGGCGCACAGTAAATTACAGTTACTGCATTAGAGTTAGATTTTGTATTTCAATCCGGAATATAGTAACTAATGAATACTTTGTTATCCCAGGGTTTGGTTTGTTTTTTGTTTTTGTTTTTGTTTTTCCCCAGTATTTAATAAGCATAGCAATTTCGCAGTCTGTTTTATTTGTATGATTTATAGGAATATTTTAATTCTTGCTTCAAGTTTATATCATCAGTGGTTTTCAGTGATGATTTCTACAGCTTCATAAAGGAGACTTGGGCTCATAGATCCGGGTGCCTTCAAAGTCACGCAGGGACAAGCCATGTAAGCGAGATAGACACCAAAGGTCCCGGGATTGCAGGGATCCTGTGGCGATGTGGAGACAGCATGCTTTACTTCCCGTCGATTAATATGCTTTTCTTTTCTTTTTTTTTTTTAAAGATTTTATTTATTTATTTGAGAGAGAATGAGATAGAGAGAGAGCATGAGAGGGGGGAGGGTCAGAGGGAGAAGCAGA